GCGTTTTCCGGCCAACTCCGACGGAATTGACGGCGGGCACCAACTCCAATGCGGTCGTGGAATCCGGGCGACCTCCAAGGACCCCTCAATTGCAAGATTTGATGACGATTTGCAAAACCCCCATTTTGGACCCAATTTTGATTTTAGGGTTTTTTCGAGTAGAAAAATTCAGATTCGAGAAGTTACAGGCCAAATTAGACAAAATGATTTGGATATTATTGATCCTCGTCTCAAGACGAAGAGAATGACATTGGTCCCGCCGGAATCGGAAAAAGTTCATTTTCCGGCGACTTTGACCGGCGGGCGGCGGCGGCGGGGCCTGGATGAAAAGAAAAGAAGAAATGGGGTCAAATTGAAAATTTTAAAATATATAAAATTCGAATTTGGCCCTAATGACCGAAAGTTAACCTAGAAACGGGCTAATGGCTCATTAGTGAAAGGATTGTGTAAGTTCAAGGATTTTTGTGAAAGGATTTGAAGTTTAGGTACCACTTCGAAATTCTAGCTAAAGTTCATGACCATTGGTGAAATTTACCCCATTCTAACTTACCAATTCAAATTTTGCAAAATGCACGTAAAGATGAGAAAAATCATGGGAAACTATGAGATGTAAACATTTACAGCTATACGGATTTTGTCACCTATATATTGGTTATTCATTCTATCTTAAAATTACTTTGCAGTTTGATTGAAGTTATTTTCAAATTATTTTATATGTATAAAAATGTAGAATTAAAAAACATTATGTATGATTATCTCTTATATATTATAAGTATTTTACATATTTAATGATATTTCATGTTTATATTTAATTCTAAATTCTAATTTTTATTCATTCATTTATTTATTTGAAAAAATGTATTTAAGACAAATTTTGATGACTTAAATGTACTCTGTGACTATTTTACTTTTCTTTTACTATATTTTTTTAAGATGGAGAATTCTTTTACTGCAAAATATCTAAAACATTTGGCTAATTTTATGTTTCATACAAAGCACTTGCAAAGTATTTAATTATTTAATCTGTATAATGTTTGATTTTAGGACGTAGAAATATTACTATTAAGAATAGATTCCCAAAAGAGTTTTCACTAATAGCGTGTTTTTCTAAATTAGTAATATATAAGTTTTAATTACCTACGTGATCTTTTATAATTGAGATTTATTTAATACCGTAGCCTGTTCTTTTTGCTTTGTATATAATAAGATAAGATAATATACATAGTATTTGTAAATAATGTTATTCAAAAAAGAATTTATTAGGAACTATTTTGGTATTTTTTTACTCCATACCAGCTAATTATATAAAAATTTCTTAAAATGATCAATTCTAATGAATTTTGTAAATAAAAAATGTATACCCCCGAGTATTTGATTCGATTTTAAAATAAACTGATTATTTTAAAATAATCATTTTATCTTTATTTGGCTATTATAGACTATAGTCCTTCGTCCCTTCAAATTGTAATCTCCAGCTGCACAGCACAGCCATGGCTACTCTCCTTCCTCTGTCCTTGCGAATCAATTCCACCCCTGGCTTCACAGGATATCCAAACCTCTCCTCTTCGTTCAAGGCAAATCTCTAGCTCTTTATCTTTGTGTATTTACATTTTTTGTATAGAAAGCATGGACACCGAAAAAAGAGTTGAAATTTATCCAGAATTTATCAAGCCTTTCTTCTTCTTCTCCTTCTTTTGGAGCTTCGTTCATTTTCATAAGGTCTTTTTTGTTGATTTCTTAACTGATAGATGGATATTTATGGCCTGTAAATTTTGCTATATTCCTGGAAATTCTCGTCTAAAATATTGACTCATTGTTTTAGGTTTTTTTTCTTGTGTTTACTGAGATATATAGGATACTCATTTGCGATAGCTTCTAGGGTTTTCTAATGTGTGCCTATGCAATTTAGACCTTTTTAATTTGCCTATTAGAAAATTTCTCTAATGGATCTCAAAAACTAAACTTATCCGGTAATCCGGTATATGCCACTCTAGAGGAATTGATTTTAATGTTAGTTTATCTGTAACTGAGTAGATTGTGATCAAATTATACATACAGAGATAAAGAATGGGAACAAATAGTTTGTGCAATAGGATATAGCTTTATGATAAATTTGTAGATAACTTAGACCGAATATGACTAGTTTTTTGTATGTGATGTTTCACGGTAGCTTCTGCACTGAATTAAACCGTAGAACCACATAGCAGTTTGAATTGCGGAAGAGTTGAAACTTGGCCTTTATTTGTAAATTGTGCATTTGTGTGGTTGTCTATGTGCTTGCTTTTTCATTTTATCCCTTGTTTCCTTTTGTTCATCATTTTGTGAATATTATACATATATGCTTTCACTGTTTTTAATTCAAGTGTACCAATAGGATCTATTTTCTTGTTAGAGTGTTAAAATTTTGAAACACTGGCTTTAGCGTATACTAGTACTGCTTTTTTTGAATTGGCTGGCTAATACATTTGAATAGTCACATATTCACATGGAATTTTAGTATGGTGTTTTCACAAATAAAAAACAATTCATTCTAGTAATGGCTGGCTAATACAACTACAATTTTATGTATTTATGAGGTATATCTTTGCAGCATAATATGTGGTTTCATAGTATGTCCTCATCTGGTTTCTGTTGACCCCCGCAGTCCAATGTTCTAATTGATGTTTTCTGATCTAATTTATTTTGTATCGACAAATTCAAGACATGTATAATTTAGGTTGTGTTTTTTTTCAAATACTTGTTCTTCATTTTGTTAATTTTCAATACATATTGGAATGTTTATTATGGCCTCTCTAATTACCTAGATGCATAAAAGATCACCAGCAGGCAGCAACCTTTATCTCTTTTCCATCTCGAGTCATTTTGATCTCATTTGAGAAAGGGCATGTTCAATTATGTCTAGTTGTCTACTAGCCTACTAAGTAACTTTTTTTTTTAATTCTTTGAGAAGTTCATCATTGTTATTTTATTTTCATTAATATAGATATTTTTAATAGGGAAGTACGAGGACTTTTAAAGCAAATCCATGCCAATTCCCATGTGTAAGACTCAGAAAAATAAAGCCTAATTCAAGAACAACATTCACTGTATTCAACCTAGCTCCCGAATCAGCAAAGATTGATGCACCCCGGTTCCGGCTCAATAACTTGGGGCCGCAACCTGGCTCCACTAAGAACAGAAAGAGGAAGGGTAGAGGTCACGCAGCTGGGCAAGGAGGCAGCTGTGGATTTGGGATGAGAGGTCAGAAATCAAGGTCTGGGCCTGGAGTTCGAAAGGGGTTTGAAGGGGGTCAGATGCCACTCTATAGGAGACTTCCCAAGCTCAAAGGCATTGCTGGAGGTAATTTTCAAAACATTTTCAACGATACATACATGTTTACTTCATTTTCACTCTTTTTCTTTTCTCCTTGCATTTTTTCTGTTTAAAAGATGGAAGCTTTAGTGTGATAATGTTATTTCACATGAATTTTTTTTTTGCATATGGTTATTACCTACGTGCTTAATTTGGAAAAGAGCATTACATGTGCTTGTTAGCATTTATTTTCAACTTCAGACTTTTTTTTCTCAGTTCAAGTATCACATTGTCCAGTTTGATTTTTTCTAGTCAAACTAGACAAAATTTGAGCTTCAATTAAATAAAAATCATAATGTATTTTGACATAAAAATGACTTTATTAGATATATCGTATTGAGAACTTACTAAATTGCATTTTCATCACTTATTTTCCTATCCCTCGAAAAATATCCAAACATGCCTTAATGTAAAGAAATAATTAAAAAACTTATGTACTCCGTAGTATTTTGTACTCAGTTTTGCTCAAAGTTCTTGATGCTCTATAATTTACACACGGCCCCTATTGTATTATTGCGGTACAACATTTAAAGATAAAAGATCAGTCTCAAATCTGCACCCACAAGTCAAAGCAAAACAACTCAGTAATCTAACTCACACACATCAAACAAAACAGAACGCTTCACCGGTTTACCCATTATTCATGCCAAGGTGTAGGTGGAACCTATGTTTGTTAATATTTCTGACTGGTGGAGTTGAGCTGGTCCAAAAAGGAATTATTAAAGCTCCATTAATAATTCATGTTAGGCTGTAATGGAACCCAAGGGAAAATCCGATTGTCTCTTGGGGTAGGAACACCGTTTGAAGCCCATTGTTGACTTGGGTATCCCTCTCTTTCACACTGAAGAAAATATACCTTCAATTTCGTTTGTCCAGCACAAGTTATAATGTGTGAGAGTATCCTCAATATTAACAAGGAATATTTCTCTAGGTTTGATGATTTTTAATGCCATAATGGCACACAGAATAATATGCCAACGGCTCTATGAACTGGAAAACATAAGTATTGGCTGTTGGTTTGATGATTTTTAAAAAGTTTATGTGACTATCTCTTTATGATGACCAATAGCGGCAGTCTTGCAGCATAGGCAGAGAAATCTTATATATGTGTACATGTGCATACTGTACATTTTTACCAGTTAATATATAGCTAGTTTATCAATAGTGGGCATAGTTGTCATACATTTCATAGTGGCTTTTCATGTGTTTACCGACTAAATGGCTCAGCTTTTGGAACATTACTGTTTCTTATGCATTCCCTGTGCCCTCAAATTTATCAATACAAACTAACAAGGTGTTTTCTCAACGTGACTAAAAGGTATGCGTGCTGGACTACCAAAATATGTCCCTGTGAACTTGAAAGACATAGAAGCTGCTGGATTTCATGAAGGAGAAGTGGTGTCACTTGAATCCTTGAGTGAGAAGGGCATTATAAATCCATCGGGAAGAGAAAAGAGGTTACCACTAAAGGTAGCAATAAGTGTTTCTATATACTAGTATTTACTTCCATGCTATAAGAATCTATAATTTTCCTATAAATCTGTTGATATTTTTAGGGATCTTAGTCTAGCAGGTGGTGTTAAATAGCTGCCACCCACTAGATAGTGGATGCAATAATAAGAAACACGACGAGGAGAAGGGTTGAAGTATAAACTAATATTCATCACCCGATGTCCTAAAAACGTTATGCTGTTTGTTAAACTGTGTTTTGCGATATGGTAGGCTGTGAGTTCTACAATAGCTGAATTATATTTGAGCATTTTATCTGAAACTGAAATGTCTAATGGTTTGTTTGGCAAACTAGAAATGATTTTCCATTTCAAGCTAATTTTTTCGTCCATCTATTTCCATGCATGCTTATCCATAGTCCTGTATATAGAAAGATTTCATTCCAAGAATTGGGGTTCCTCAAGGACCTAAACCATGGAGAAGAAAATCTTCTTAACCTCAAAATAGGTATTGTTGTCCCCCTCTTGTTCCTATCAAACAAAGCGCAAAACTCTTTCTTGATTCCTCACATATTTTTTCTCCCACAGGATTTAAATCATCTTTCTTAGTTTATGCTCCATGATTTGCAAGTTAATTTTACAATATCAAGCTTGTAATGAAACATGACAATAGCAAATACCTCACCTCATCTCTGTCTCACCATATTTTCCATGCATGTAGAACCTATATCATGTTAATTCAATACCAAGTCTTAATAATATCAGGGAATAGACCTATTTCCGGTATAATCATAAGAGTAAATTCCCCTAGTAACATTTGGTTTTCCATTTTAGTCCCTACTTATCGAATAATACTAACGCAGTCCTCGTTTCTTAGCTTCTTTTTCACGACTAGACCTCCGTCACTCCTGTTGTTATCTACCTATTCAATGCAGAGTTAAAAAGGTAACTTCTCACCCCATTTTCTCAATGAAACCCCTTCCTCCATCCTCAGTTACCCTCAGAACACAATCCTTATCTTCGTTGTCATCGCAGAACCCAAAAGTTACTGTTTCCGTATTCTTCGCAGAGGACAATCTGAACACAACATCCTAACCATGCAAACAGAAGCGTATATGAGGATGAGGGAGGGGTTAATTGAGAGGTGTGGGTGGAAAATTACCTTTTTAACCTTGTATTTAGCATGAGTGACGAAGGACTAGCCGTGGAAAGGAACTAAAAAAAGGGGGACTACGTTTGTAATAATCAATAAGGACCAAATATGAAAAACCAACTATTAGTCTATTACTAGGGACCATTTATAGAAGTTACACACTTACACTAATCATGATCTGTTGTGACATCTCGATATATATATACATTCCTCTTACTTTCAGATCCTAGGTGACGGCGAGCTTGGAGTGAAGCTAACGTTGAAAGCCCGAGCATTTTCAGCCTCAGCAAAGCAGAAGCTCGAGGCGGCCGGTTGCTCGCTGACTGTTCTACCGGGGCGAAAAAAGTGGGTGAAGCCATCGGTTGCTAAGAACCTTGCCAGAGCAGAAGAATATTTTGCCAAGAAAAGAGCAGCTGCCCTATCAGCGGACTCCTCTCCTTCTTCTGTCTGATGTGAGCCACCTTATTCCCTCTCTTCATTTTGTAAAGCAACACTTGGAAAACTTTTCTCTGAATCATTGGTAATTCCAGGATTAACCCTGTATTTCTGTTGATACTCCCAAGTTTGACACATTTAAGTTTTGAATCTTCAACTCCATGGGTGGAATGGAAAACAAAATGTCCTCTTAGCTTGTTAGATAGTAGTTAAGGAGTATATCATAAAACCAGAGGACTTTTTTTTTTGAATTGAACTATGTGTACCCCAAAAATTGTACCCCACTTTGTACCCCGAAGACATACACCAATATTTTGTGCTAGTGTACTGCTAGTGTGATGGAATACAATGTCGCAAAATGGCAGTGCAATTTTTTTTATTGAACTGACGTTTTATGCCAGTGCGAACCGTTAAAATGCTAGTACATTCCTTTGGAGTACAATTTGGAGTACACTTCTTGGTGTACCCCTAGAATGGTTGTTTTTTTGGGTGAAGCATAGTCCTCAAACCGTTTGGTAAGAGTGTTTTTTTTTTTTGAAATTTGTTACTTGTAAAATTTTTAAAAAAATAGGGGGAAAAACTAAAGTAGGAGTTTCAAGTTTTTGTTCCCAAAATATGAGTTAAAATATATTTATAGGGTCAATCATAATCATATACATTATCAAAAAGTATTGTGAAATGTTCATATATAATGTCATATTACCATAGTGCGAACTCTTATTTTGGAGATAAAAAAATGAAATTTCTATTTTGATACAATCTTTATGTTTTAGTCCTATTTAGGGTGACTTTTTAAAAAATAATTTATAATATATTTGCTAAACAACTTTTTAAAAATGTTCAATGCATTGTTTTTTTTTTTCCATTATCAAAAAACTTGTACTCGTGTGATTCATACACGACCAGATTTCATTTGAGATGAAAATATAAAGAATAAAATGTCAAAATCTGGACATAACGTACGTAGAAGAGTTCATAATTGTTCCACATTCACATACAAAGACAAAAGTGTATATAGAACAATTGCTCCGATTTATTCAAAACAAATTTGTCAAAGAACCAGCTCAATAAAAAAACTCGATCATGGTTGTAAGTCTAGAAGAAAAAAATTGTTTTTCCTCTAACCTTGCATATGGACATCAATTTTTGTATGTCAAAGAATTAGCTTAAGCAATAGATAAGCTTGTGGTTATAAACCCAAGAAAAATTTATACTCTAACAAAAGCGTTCTTCATTGAAAATGTATACATACTAGCTTTGATTTTTTTTATTTTCCAATGTTAGAATTTCGGTGGGCCGAGTGAATCGGATAGAGTGTCGGGTGAAATTTAACTTTTTTTTCGATATAAAGTCTGGATCATCTCGCCCAATACCCCCCCCCCCTCCCACCCACCCACAAGTGGTTACTGCTTGGATGGAAGAGTCTAGTATCCCAATCTCTTATACCTAGCCCGGTAAAGAGGTTCGTCCAATCAATGTTGATAATATTTGAAGGCTCTGTTTAATTTTTAAATTATTAAGTTTTCATCATCATTTTCAACCCAGTTGGATCCCACTACAGTAGGGTCTGGGGAGGGTGTGTGTACGCAGACCTTGCCCCTACTTGGAAGCAGGGAGGCTGTTTCCAAGAGACCCCCGGCTCAACCTGCACAAAAAATGATAGGGTATACAGTATAGCATGGATAAAACACCAAGTACAATGAAAAGAAAGTTCTACAAGCATTAATAGAAGATTCCAATCAAACACAACACACTACAAAAAACCTCTATAGCACCGAGTTCCTAACCAGCTACTCTAATCCTAGTTCTCCAAAGGTTCCTATCTAAAGCCATATCCTCAGTCAGGGTGAGAAGTCCTAAATCCTGTCTAATCACTTCCTTCCAATTATTCTTAAAAATTATTAAGTTTTATTGTTCTAATATAAAAATTATACATGAAAAAATTTCCATTATCACGTATTTGCTAAAAATGAAGTACATAATATAATTAACATTTAAATTAATAAAACTATAAAATTACAATATCAATATTATTATTATTTAAATTGATGAACACTTATAACATGCATGGACTTGAGGTAAGTATAGTGACGCCTCAATTCCTTGTCTAATTGAATGATACTCCGTAACTAGAATGAGTTACATTCCTTCATTTATCATGCTTCAAAAATTATACATTTTTTAGTAGAATAGAATTTGTATCCCACAATTTTTAGCCTTTTAAAAAATAACACCAATGACCACGTGCATTTTTTACTTTTCAACACTTCCTAAGATACCTTTTGAATTTTTATAATCAAAATGTAAATTTTGTTGTAAAATTGCTCCTCTTGAAACTTGGTCCCTCTGTGGATGCACCTAATGAATGCTCCTTTGGGCACCCTAAATATCAAGACGAATTGAACTTGAACCAAACTTGGCTTCGATACCATGTTTAAATTTCGGTCGAGAGTGAATCGGATTGAGTATTGGGTTAGGTTTGACCACTTCCTCATATAAAGTCCGGATTTACTTTTTAACCAAAGGGTTAAGTAAATTGATAGTGATTCACCTTTCTTTATATGTGAGTGTCATATTTTTTTATTTTACGGTGTGGGACGTGCACAATACACGGTTCCCAACGTCCAACTACAATTCTAGATTTGTGCTTTCATGATTATAAGGTCCAGGTGGAATTTATTTGTAAATTGTTGACAACGGAATCAATGTTGAGACCAAGGCATGTTTTGGAGCAATATTGACAATATATGGGAGATGATGTTTTGTACCCGTAACATCGTCTATTGGATCGTGAAGATATTTTTTCCAAATATTATAATAATTTTAAAAAAATATGACTAAAACTTTTTAAACTTTAATTAGGTATAATGCTTACTAAAGATGAGATTCAAAATTATATTCTATGTGATCTTGAAGACTTGCTTAGAAGTCATGCTAAGAGCCTTCGCGATTATACCAATATGCCTCAAGCAAACCTCCATAGAATTTCGACTTTAGTCAATCGATTGATTTTTTATGAAATGCAATACGACCGAATAGCATTGGCAAGTGAGCACACCAAGCTTTTGGGTTCGCTGAACGATGAACAACGTGCAACGGATGAAGCTATAATGCAGGCAAACTTTTCCTTTATGTACGGATATGGAGGAACCAGAAAGACGTATGTCTGGAGAACATTATCAGCTGCCATACGATCTTGAGGTGATATAGTAATGAATATTGCGTCAAGTGGGGTAGCATTGTTATTGTTGCCGGGTGGTGGAACAGCTCGCTCACATTTTAAAATTCCATTGATTCTAAATGAAAATTCTACTTGCAACATAAAAGCAAGGCACTGCACTAGCACAACTCTTGGTGAAGGACAAATAAATTATTTGGGATGAAACCCCTATGACACACAAGTATTGCTTTGAAGCTTTAGATAGAAGTATGTGTGATATTCAAAGTTTTTCTAATCCAATGAGTGAACAACAAACTTTCGGAGGAAAAACAATCGTCTTTGGGGGAGATTTTCGTCAAAGTGTGTCAGTTATTCCAAAAGGAACAAGACATGACATCGTTAACTCAATGATTAATTTCTCATATGTTTGGGAAGACTGCACAGTGTTGCGTTTGACAAAAGCATGCGACTGCAATCAATGATTCATGATAGTAGTTATGATCACTTATTTGAATTCAGCAATTGGATTGCGAGTATCGGTGACGGGAACACAAGGGATGAACAAAACGACTATGCTGACGTAACAATTCCTGATGACATGTTACTTCCGTCTTTTGAAGATCCAATAGTTACTATAGTGAATTCGACTTATCGAAACTTTCAAAAATAGCAAATGAACTAAGCTACTTGCAGGAACGTGCAATTTTGGCTCCTACAATTGATGTCTTTGATTCCACAAATGAATATATGACAGCGATGAATCCAAGCAGCGAATCTCGATCATGCCTTAGTTTTGACAAGGTTGAGAACTTGGACTGCATTTCAAGTTTTTTCGGTGACTTACACTCTCCCGAATTCTTAAATAAGATTCGTGCTTCTGGTGTATCGAATCATGAGTTAACTTTGAAGGTAGGCACGCCTATTATGTTGTAGAGAAATATTGACCATTCAATGGGTTTATGTAATGGTACATAGTTGATAGTAACCCGGTTGGCTAATCACTCAATACAAGGAAAGATATTATCAGGAAGCCACATGGGTGAAGAAGTCGTTATTCCAAGACTATCATTAACACCATACGATACAAGAATTTCACTCAAGTTTCAAAGAAGACAATTTCTTGTGGTTACTTCATACGCAATGACAATTAACAAGAGCTAGGGACAATCTCTGAAATATGTTGGATTATTGTTACGAAAACCAGTGTTTAGTCATGAACAACTGTATGTTACAGTTTCAAGAGTAACTAATAGTAGTGGATTGAAGATTCTGACATGCAACGAAGATAATGTTTCCACAAATTGTACAAATAAAAAATAATATAATACATAAAGAAGTCTTTCAAAATTTGTAAAACAGCGATATTTTATACCTTAAATTAATATAATCTCTATATTCTATTACATCTCTTTGTTTAGCATTGAAAAATGATCTTAATTTAATATCGTAAAAATGACCCGTGCAACGCACGGGTGTGATACTAGTTCATAGTAAAGAGTTAAGGTAGGAGTTCAAGGGCAGCATCTCCAAATTCTTTAAAGGCTATTTATAATGACGAAAAACAAATAAGTTTAATTTGAAACAAATATTCAAATTATTAATAAAAATATTTCTAAAATAGAAAATTACAATATAAAATTTATCATAACCTAATACAAACATTATATTTCAAATATTTCAAATTTTATTTAAATAGTTACGGAATATATTTTACATAGAAAGTTCAAACTATAATTTTCTTTTAGCACTCGGGGCACAATTTTTTTACTGGATAATCTTTTAAATTACCACAAATTTTTTTCACTATATAAAAAAAAATTGACTGAGGGCCACTACCCCTATAGCCTATAACATGGATCTGCCCGTGGTAGCAATTAAGGTTGGAGTTTATCCAAATGTTTTGCACTTGAAAATTGAAATGCATGAGGATGTTCAGTATTTTCGTATGTACCGCGTTCGAAAATCTACCAGAGGAAATTACTCCATAGAATTTTCCCACTTGTGGAATTTATCTGGTTTGTTGGGTCATTGAACTGAGATCTTTCTTCCAGTAAGGGTGCAAAGCCAGACATAACATCTCATTACAAGTCTCACCAGCTCTGTCCAGGAATTTTATGAACTCCCATTTCTTGCATCAAGTTCCAAACCATAGCCGATTCTTCCCATTTCCCAGAAGTTGCATACATGTTTGACAGTTGAACCAGAGCACCCGAATTCGCAGGACTGAGCTCTATAATCTTCTTCGCGACTACTTTCCCAAGGATTTCATTACCCACTGCGACGCAACCCCTCAGAATCGACGACCACATGCTCGCATCAGCCTCGAATGGCATTGTCTGAGTGATGTTCACAGCCTCTTCCAGACACCCAGCTCGGACGTACAGATCTACCATGCACGAGTAGTGTTCAATGCCAGGGTCAATATGGTAATCATTTTTCATTGCAAGAAACCATTTTTTCCCTTCCTCAAGGAGCCCACAGTGATCACAAGCAGACAAGACTCCTGTAAATGTGATATCCGTAGGCAAGACGCCTGCCTGTCTCATTTCGCACAACAAGTTCAATGATTCAGTTCCATAGCCATTTGTAGCATAGCCCATCAACATAGAATTCCACGAAGCCTCGTCGGGCACTGGTATTTGGTCGAATATCTTCCTAGCTTGTTTTACTAAGCCACACTTGCAGTAGAGATCAAGTACGGCAGTAGAAAAAACCTGGTCAGAATCAACCCCTGTGACGATAGCTCTGGCAAAAACCTGTTCACCTAGTTCAAGAGAAGAGATGCTTGAACATGCGCTGATCGTGCTTGTGTAGCTAAACCTGTCCATCCTCACGTCTATCTTATTCATTTTGTTGAAGATATCAATGGCTTCTCTTGGCAACCCGTTTTGACAGAAACCAACCATCATTGCATTCCATGATATCAAGCTCTTGTGCGGCATAGATTCAAAAATGCACTTTGCATCTTCAACTAGGCCACAACTGCAATAAATGGTGATCATAGAATTCAATAAAACAGTGTCGTGAACTTTAAGATCATTGAAAAGTTCGCACGCATCACAAAAACAATTACATTTCGCATATGTGTCGACTAAAGAGCTAGCAACTATTAGATCATCTAGTAATCCAAGCTTACAAGACAAACCATGCACGAGCTGACAATTCTCTACACTTTGTGCGCTGTTGCACGCACTTAAAACAGCGACCATAGTTGAGGAGTCTGCTGTAATTCCCTCTTTGTGCATTTCATTAAACATGAAAAAGGCCTCGGACACGTCATTGTTTTCCATGTATCCTGATATCATTGAATTCCACAATACAACACAGCGATTAACTTTAAAATCAAATATTTGTCTCGCGTCATTCATTCTACCACATCTTGCATATGCTAAGATCATGGCAGACAAGGAAAAATCATCAGGAAACTGTTCTCTGCTCAAAACATGGTGGGCACTATCCAAATCACCACTCTTGCCATACATGTTAACTAGTGAACTAGCCAATGTAGAATCAACCTCGAGTTTATGAACTACAATGCGAGCATGAATCTGCTTCCCCAAACGAATAATTCCCAAGTCCGCACAAGTCCTGAGAGCCGTAGTCAAAATAAAGGAATCAATACCGGACACCTCACGGTCATTCGAATAAGAAAAGTCCCTAAACAGCCTTAGAGCGACACCGGATAATCCATTTCTTGAAAACCCATCAATCAAACAATTCCATGCGACAGCGTTCTTCCTGGGCATCTCGTACGAAAGACGCCGGGCAGCTTCTAGCTCCCCTGCTTTTACAAGGCCCATGATGACCACATTCCAAGAAAAATCGTTCTTTTGATCCATTTGAGAAAAGAGACGCAGCGATTCACTTAGCATCCCGCATTTCAGGTACCCTTCTAGCAGGGTGTTCCAGGAGAAGTGGTTTCTCTCGGTCATTTCATCGAACAACTTCCGCGCATCAGAAATCTGCCCGCACCTTACATACATCTGGAGAAAGCGGTTGGCTACAGTGAGAACGGAACTGAGAACGCCCCTCTTAAAGAAAAGAAGATGGAGCTTCTTTCCTAGTAAATGGGAATCAGGGGGGCTGATGCTGTTCACTAAACGAGCACAGGATTGCAAATCGAAATCCATCAAGGGGGATTTCTGTAAAAGACTGAGAAAATCCCCATCTGCGTCAAACGAGGCACATCTTGCTTTTTTAAAATAATCTCACTTTCACTGTGATGCATAATTTCACTGTGATGCATAATAATCCTAACTTTATTGAAATTTGCCAGTTTTGGGTCGCCGTTAAGTTTCTAACGGAGGGTTAACGGAAATGCCCGTTTTAGGCAAAAAAAATGAAAGTTGGGATTATTTTTGATGAATTTTTGTTTTTTAATTTTTTTAAAAATTTTTATTTAAATTTTTTGAATTACTTTTAACCTCCATTTCTTTTTCTTTTTTAAAGATTATTCTTACCTTAGAAAAAAAATAGATATAAAAAATAATGAAAATGAGAAAAATAACTAAAACCATACAAAATTAATCACATAAATAATGTAATCAATAGAAATTAAACAGAAACTGGTAAGAAATAAAATAAATATATACGGAGTGGTGGGTTTTGACATTTTACACACTATACTGAGTCTTAATGTACAACTTATTTTTTAAAAGAACAAGCCGTCCGGTAAAGTTGGAATTATTGTAGATAATTTTTTATAAAAAATAAGAAGTGATATGTTAATACTTTGTATAATGCGTAAAATATTAAAACCCACCCGTATATTTTTATTTTACTTTTACCAATTTCAAGTTAGTATCCATTGATTACCTTATTTATTTTATTATTTTTGTATCATTTTAGTTACATTTCTCATGTTTTCATTTTTTATATCTATTATTTTTATTTTTTAAACTAAGACTAATCTTTAAAAAAGGAAAAAGAAATAATGATGGAGGTAGAAAGTAATTTAAAAAATTTAAATGAAAAATTTAAAAAAAAAAACAAAAAAACAAAAATTCATCAAAAATAATCTCAACTTTCATTTTGTTGCCTAAAACGGGCATTTCCGTTAACCCTCCGTTAGAAACTTAACGACGACCCAAAACTGGCAAATTTCAGTAAAGTTGAGATTATTATGCATCACAGTGAAAGGTGGGATTATTTTTGAAAGACCGGGTAAAGTTGGGATTATTTTGGATAATTTTTTCTTTTATTAATTATTTGATAAAATAATATAGTCATGTCACCACTAGTTTTGTAAAATATTCGATGTAATTTTAAATGTGTACTCCGCTTTCATATAAAATGATATGAAAAATAGTTCTAGTCAACCATCGTAAATCGAAACAAACGATTTAAAATCATCGACTAAACTTTTATCAATAGCCAAAGAATTATTTTCCATAATGTATGAAGCGAATAGAATAATATGTTTTTGTTAGTCTATTAATAATGTTCCATGAGTATTATATTGTCAAACACGTGTAAATAATAGCTACCTATATTAAAAAGGTGCATTTAATAAAGTGTTCAAGATAGCTAAAATGAGTTATTTTGTTTGATATCTCGTTCTGTGTATCATAAATATAGAATTGACTAAATCCTGATCTTTCACCATTTTGTGACAATAAAGATGGTATGCGATAATGATTGTGTCCGATAAGTGTAAATTGTTGTTCGATCGTTGTTGTGAGATGCATCAATATTTCCATCCATATACGTTAACGAAACATATTGTTGTATTTCTTAAATTTTTCATGGTAATGATAACTCTTCACACCAAGTCCATAAAATAAATTATAGAGCAAATATGAGTGTTTTTTAGCAGAGAGAGTTAAACTTTTTCTTTCAAGTAACAAACTGAAAACTCTAGATGTTCTAAATATTTATTTATTTGGTTCTTTCTTCATATTGTACCAAAGCTTCCCAAAATTCCCAAATAAATGTGTGATTTCAAAATCATGATCTCTAAAGGGAAAATAAAATATGATATTGCTTATCTTGTATATATATACACGTAGTATTTAGTATTCCACACAACTTACTTATTGCATATATAATCTAAATATACTTTTAATTTTTGTTTCTCTAAATGTTGAATTATCTAAACATGATTCCATTGATGTATCTTAAGCAGATAAATCTTCTACCTCGACATCTAAATTTAAAGATTGCTTCTTTGGTGCACTTTGGGTGCACACCATTTTTATAGGCCTTCTCACAAAAAAATTTTTTTGGGGAAACTGAAAAAATTAAATATTTAATTCAGAATAATAAAAATATCATTTGTTAAATCACAGAATACATTCTTTCTCGAACGTGTTCGATGATGCGAAGCTATAGCCGACGATTAGACCTGTGCAAACAAAGGTCGGGCCCGTTCGGCCCGCCCAGCCCGCCCTTTATAAAGGGTGGATATGGACAACTTTTAATACCCAAATGGGCGGGCCGGCCCAAGCCCGAATTGTATATGGGCGGATCTGGAAGTTACTTTTAGTCCATCTGGGCCAACAGGCCCGCCCATATTCATCAAATATATTTAATTTATTAATAATTACCTGACCAATATAAATTTTAAAATTTTCTATAATTCATGTATAATAGTTTAATTCACCCACCTCTTTTAAACAAAAATCAATACTCTTTTAATGAATCAGTGTGATGGGTTTATTAATTATGCAACAATATCTCTATTATGCTTTCTATATAAATGTGGTGACTGATTATTTTATTTTAAACATTGAAAAAGAGTTCAATGTTTTTTTTAAATTTTTTGTACAAAAAATTTTTCTTGATGTTTTATCTGGGCCGGGCAGCCCGGTGGGCAGTCCGGCCCGCAAAGATGGGCGGGTATGGGTAAAGAATTTATCCCATCAAATCCAGGCCGGGCTAATAGTTTATCTCAAGCCCAGCCCGGATCCTTATTTACACAGGTCTACTGACGATGATCCCTATCTTTCTGTATCTGTAATAACCATCATAAAAGTGATACTATAAATATTTTTATCTAAAAACTTTAAACAAGCAAGAATATTACTTATTTATATTTTTCTGACATAAATGTCAAAATAAGCATATTTTCTATTTCCAAGAATTTTATTTAATAGTAATTACACTTATAACAATTAATATTATACTATAAATATTTTGATTAAAAACACAAATTAATACTCCGTAATTATTTTCTTACACATAGATACCCATGTACCAAGTCTTCATCATTTTACAAAGTAAGTAATAGAAAATAGTAATTTTGTGACATGAATTTATAGTTTTTTACAAAGTTAGATGGAAAATAATAATTTAAAAATGAAAAATACTAATTTTAAAATAGAAAATACATGTTATTTAACTTAGAATTCTTTTAATATATACGTAATAAAATTAATGCTATATTAAATAAACGTGCCAATAAACACTTCTTTCCTTTTGTATATTTATTACTCTTTTTTCAAAAAATGAGAAAATCTCTCCAATTAGTATTAATTGAAAGTAATAAAAAATTATTCAAATGCAATTCCCTTTAATCCTACCAATCTATCCGTTCTTAGAATAAATTTATTTGTTTTGATTATGTTTTTTGAATATGAGTTCTTTTTTTTCAATTTCAAAATATATTATTTAATTTAAATATTTTCCAACATTGAATTAAGATATAAAAATTTTTAAACGCGATTATGCTGAGGAATTTGTGTGTAACCAATACAAAACTTAATTTCTATAGAATATATTTTTTGTTAACTAATTCTTTAAATATCACTTAATGACATAGCGTGCTAACATGTTAAAAAATTTCATAGTAAGCGTGTCACATGTCATAATTGCCATGTTATCAAAGTCATCAAAGGTAGCAGATGATTTGTAAAAAATTGCCAAGTAGACTTGTCACGTGTCACAAATCCGAAAAAGCTCAATTCTCAAGTTTTATATATAAAGATTTATTTCGAATTATGTTTAGATTAATATTTAAATTTATATCTTCATAAAAATTTTTATCTACAATTAAAATAATTGATCTAGCCCCTTACACACCCAATGATGTGGGATTGATGAGTGGAACAAGCCACATGACACATACTCCGTACATAATAGAGTAGGGCTGAGTTGGAAAAACCAAAAACCGCAAACCAAATCGAAATCGAACGGAATGAGCTAGAAAAAACCGAATCGAAAAAACTAAAACGAACTGTTAGTATTTGGTTCCATTTTGGTTTTCACTTTGAAAAACCGAAACAAACCGAATAAACCGAACTTTTTTAGATACTTCGCTTTATTTATATGAATATATGTGATATGTAGAAAATCATAGAAATATAAATGCAAATATATTACTAGTCTATTAAAATTATTTTCTTAACTATTAATTAAACATTCTAGCCATTTTATTATAAACTTTAAAAAACCTAAGAATATGAACACCAATAGCCAATCCTAATATAGAATTATATTAACATTAAAAATTGATACGAGTAGTTTACATATTTACATAAAAAATACTTTGATATTATAATGAAAATGAAAGTATTATAGCAAAAAACATAAATTCTTCGTAATTAATTTTACATACGATGTCTTTGGAAGCATTTGAAATCTTCTAAATGTTTGTTGGGCATTCAACGTCTTTTTATGTAAAATCGAACCAAAAGGAATAATAACTGTTAAATATATTCTTACTATATTTAATATTAATGTATATTGGTAGCTTCCATAATTGTATAGGGTGTAATTAATACTGTTTCCTATTATCATTAGGAAACTCTTGTATATATACACATGTAATCTCCCATAATAATTTATGTGAAAATACTCATTCTTCATGGTATCAGAGCAAAAATCAAAATCACAGCTCCCTCTCCAACCCTAATTTTCTTCTTCTCTGTTTCGCCCCCCCTCACGGCAGTTCTTCTTCTTCGTCGGCAGTTCTTCTTCTCTGTTTCGCTAATCAGTAGCCCAACGCGTCAAAGCCCAAGTCGCCATCTCTGCAAAGAAGATCGCCGGTGGTCAATCCGTTCAGATTTGATCGTCCAGCCACCAATTAACCACAAATTTGATCTCCAGCCACGAATTGCACACACGCCATGTTTGGCGCCGGCTCGCCGTCCACAACCCTCATCAGCACCGGCGGCAGACAAACGGGCAGCGGATACCAGCGAGACCGAGGCGGCAGCTACGGCAGGTCTGGGAGCAGCGGCAACGGCAGATTTGACGGCGGATATGGCGGCGGCTACGGCGGACGCGGCAGGAATTCCGGCGGTGGCAGTGGAGGCGGCAATCGCTGCAGGGGTCGCGGCGGCGGTCGCGGTCATGGCGACGGCGGCAATCAACGGCAACCTCTGGGCTACCCCTCCTGGACAGTTCCCTCCCCTAACCCTGGCCTACTTGGGCCACGGCCCAACACACCCCACCCACTAGC